CAAGCTATTCAGTCATGCTTTGATTTCAGTGGACCTAAAAAGTGACTTATTTCCTGTAGATCCAACTTATAAATACACACACCTTAGAATAGATTTCTATGCTCAAGCTATACATAAACACACATCACATTCTATCCTAAGCTGTTATTAAGGTTATTCTGAATCCAGAGCACATGCCATTCTGAAGCCCTTCTCATTCTTTTCTCACATTACTTTAAAGATGATTGGGGGGGGGGAGGAAACAAGTTATAACATTTCTCAATTTGTTCCTCTCAGTTTGTTCATCTTGAAAATTCACACAAGCATTCATCTCCACATGTGGCTCCATGCAGCTCTAAAACAAATAAAATAAAGTTGTCACACTAACCTTTCGCAAAAGTCACTTGCTCTGCTGAAAAGTTCAAATACTTTGATGATGGACATTCTTGGCTCCTCTTTTATACCAGAAACATATGGTAAAGATGATAGATAAGTGACGCCAGTCACATATGACCTTTTCCTTGTAATCATTAGCTGCATGGGCAGTGAACATCCCCTTAGCTACCACTTACCTGTAACCTGAGGAATGTCTTTTGCTTGACAGTTATCTCTGATATTGTACATTACAAGGGAAATAGTCTGTGTCATAAGACTTGTAGCATGTAATCCAGAGATATAGGATCATTGCTAAAAGATCTGAAAGGCCCAAAGGATTCTGTTATCGGAAGGCATCTGAAACACATTCCCATTTATGTTTGGAGTCAAAGAAAGGCTGTATTTCAGTTTTGATAATTTGGCTAAGATGCCCTGATGAGTTTCAGGGAAATATATCAATTATCACGATTGCTTGGCTAGCATATAAGGACATAAAAAGAGCTGGCTGGACCAGGCTGCTGGTCCTTCTATTCTAGCATCCTGTTCTCACAGTGGCCATCCAGATACTTGTCAGAAGCCTGCAAACAGGACATGGGCACAACTGTACTCTGCCCACCTGAGATTTCCAGTTACCGAAGGCACTTTTTATCATATGTGGTGGACATGTAAAATAGTAAAAGAATTTTGGGAAATGATATCTAACGAATTGAAAAAAAATATGTTTAAAATAGGGGTCGGCAAACTACAGCCCATGGGCTGGATCAGACCCACCTGGGTCCTAAATCTGGCTCATGCCACGAAGCCGGAACTCGCTGCAAAGCTGGGATGGTGATGGGAGAAAGAGGCTGACAATCAAATGCTGCATTGATGGATTATGCCAAATGGCAAAAAATGACCAGAAGAATCATAAATCAGGAAGACCAAAATTTTAATAAGGAATGGGGAAAATATATAATTTATCTTAAAAACCATTGTAAACAGCTAGAATCATTAGTAGGATTGGAATAACACCTGTAGTTTATTGTTGAATTTGCATATAATGGAGATGATAGTTGCTGATAGCTTTCAAATGCAAAGCAAAAGTGGGGAGAATCTAAGCTCACTCTATGGATGAAAGCAAACTACAGTTCAATAAACCCTCTTTTAAAGTGCATCTTTATGAATTGACAAAGTCTCTTTATCTTTAAGAAATGACTTGAATGTTCCAAGGAATTTAGCTTGAAATGTGATGTATCCAAATGCCTTGGCTCCCAAAGAGGTGCAGGTTCAAGCCAGTTTTGTTCTCTCTAGGGAATATGAATTCTAATGCCATGCAAAGAAAACATCGTTAAAAGAAATAGATAAGTCTATATAGATATGTCTACAGGCATATTATTCTCACTTAGACCTGGAACATTCCCTCTTGGAAATAGTTTGCCCTGACAAGCCTCCATTGTCTTCTAAGGCTTGAATTAAGCTCTCCTTGAATTTCTCACTGACACAACCCCCCCCCCCACAAATTCCTATTGCAATTTCTTTATAAAGAACAAGCAACTCTAGTGACAGGGTTGTGCTTGACTCATGACAGTTTTATTTTATAGTGTGTCAATGAATCTTGATTGCTGTTTTTAGCATTGAAACTTTTGGATAAGACATGGAAAATTGGAATGTCCGCTGATATCACCTGACCTTTGCCAAACAAACGACAGTTGTACCTTGGAAGTTGAACAGGATCTGTTCCAGAAGTCCTTTCGACTTCCAAAATGTTTGGAAACTAAGGAGCAACTTCCAATTGGAATGTCCGTGTTGGACATTCGGGTTACAAAGAATGTTTGCAAACTGGAACACTCACTTTTGCGGCGTTCGGGAGCCAAAATGTTTGAGTTTCAAGGCGTTCGACTTCCAATCTGTTTTGCTATTATCTTTCATACCTCATATGATGTTTTTGTCAGCATCGCCCTTGAGCCAGTGCCACGGACTGGACTCATGCACTTCAGCCCTGACTGGGCTAGGCGAGCTGGGTAGCACTTCCAGAGACCACCTTCTGCACAGGAACAGGTCAAAGTGCTGTGGACTCACAGCTTAGAGCTGTGAGCACCGGATTCACTTCCACAAGAAGACAGTCGTCGCACAGCAGAGTATAGCAGAGTATAGCAGAGTATAAACGACTCAGAGAGCAGCTCTGTAGAATATCTTCTTTTATTCTATCTACAACTATACAAACTATATACAGAGCTATATGAAGGTTAAACATAAATGAATGCTGCACTGAGTGTCTGCAGCTGCTCTTAGCAGCAACCTTATCTATACACACGATCTCTAACACTCAGTCTCTCTCTCTCTCCGATACTGACTGACTGACACTTTGATGTGGTGCTAGAGCAGAATAAGTAGAGAGCAGAAAACTGTCCCTCCTCTCTGGAGAATCAGCAGAGCACATCACCAGATTTTTGGATATGGGAGGGGTGAAATCTCCTCAGTTTTGTTTTGAAATCTTTAAGATAGTGCTTCAGTTTTCCTGTTGATTACATTGCTTTGAATGTATACTTTTTGTTTGATTTTCTTCAGTAATGTTTTATTATGGATTGTTTTGTTTGATGTTTTAATGTGTTGCAAATGGCTTTGAGATTTTTTTCCTGAAAAATATAAAGTGGTATAGAAATGAAAAGAAAATTTAAAAAGAATTATATGAAAGAAATAGAATACTTAAGCTTCTTAATGAAAAGGTAGTCATCACAATTTGTTGGCTCCTAAGGTATATTCCTGAACAAATACCTGAGTCATCAGTCGAAGGGCAAGAGAATAAACTTCTAGTAAGATTTTTAAAAACACTTTGGACCAAAATAAGAGGCAAACTTCAGTGCTATTTTTGTTCATTTAGAAAAATGAAAGACAGGAGAATGACTTAAGGAAGCTGGTTTTTGTGATCTTTAGTCCTGAAAAATGCCTGTCAGGATTGAGACTGTGTTGTATTTTGGGGGAGAATTAGAACTGTATGGGTTTCAATTGTTACCCCACTTAGAGTAACAGTTAAAAGTAGACCTGTTGTGATGGCCTATGATGCAAATCAATTATTGGCTGGCCCTTGCTTGCTTGTTATACAGTATTTGTCTTTTTCAGCCACCCTCCATTTTCTCCTGCCCCCCCCCCCACTTTTGAAAGTAGAGTTGCCATATTTTAGAAAGTGAAAATCCAGACATGAAAGTTGTTGAGCTCCCCCACCCCGAGATGGGTTGCCATACCTCCAGAATTTTCCATACATCTCAGCAATTTCCACCCAGACACTATTTCTGATGGCCAAATCCCAGCTATGTCCAGGAAATTCTGGACATATGGCAACCCTATGAAAGTAAATATTTTATTATTGGTCACAGAAATTGCTGGTGTGCCTAGAAGGTTAGAACCAATCTGTATTCAGTTGAAGCAAACTCCCACTATGAGTCACAGTATGGCAGCTTGTATTCTTCCGGCCCATCAGGCTTCAGTGAGACTTCCTCCAGCACTCATGCTTTATATGGTCGTAGCTCCAGACGTAGCTGACGATCACGTTGGCAGTTATCATCTTTTCTTCACATCAATGTACTTCTTGACAAATCTGTTATAGCCTCCCCAGACACATATAACAAGCCCAACTGGGGTGTCATCTCGCATTGCTAACCAGGTTGGCAACTGTCCCACTTTTATATCCAGCAGCCTCATATCTTTAACTGCAACAGGTTGGTTTGCCATCTTGAAGCTGTCGGTATCCCTCTCCCTCATTTTCTTTTCAATCATAGTGAGTTGAAGGTTCGTTGTTGCAGATGGTCCTCAAAATTTGTAATATCACTCTTCAAAGCTCACCAAAGCACACTGAAATGTCCAGAATTCTATGTTGTATTGTTGAAGCACTCAAAGGAAACAACTGTTGACCATTTGCACTAAACTAGATTTCAAATGAGTCCATCAGAGGGTGTGGGTGGGTGCATGGAGTCTTTAAAATGTATATTTTAAAGAAAAGAAAAGTAAGTAAAAACCTCTAGCTATAACATTTCTCCCAGAATTTGATGCATGTATGCTTATCCCTTTGAGAACATGAAAGCTGCCAAATTTCAGAAAGATATATTTAATGGGAAATAGAAATCACCCTAGGGTGGGGTTTTTTTTGGGGGGGGGTGATCTTGAAAACTGGGGACACTGGAGTGAGGTGCCCATGGGTAATATGCCTGCCAACGTTCAGACAAATAAGCCCAGGAGCTATTGTAGTATGTAATTTTATTTTGTTATAAAAAGATAGAAAGTCACAGTTTTTTCTTCACTGCCCCTCTGTTCCTGGATGTTGTGGGTAATGTGACCAATTTTGTAGATGTGCTAATAGATAAAACTCCCCTTGTTATCCCTAAGAGAGCTCTAGAATCAACTATTTGTAGTAGTGATGGTCAAGACAGCAACAAGATTTGTATTTCTGTGAAGGCTGCCCAGTGCCTACTCATTCCCTACCCTGAAGTTCAAAGTATAAGGAGTCACTTCTGGAACAAAATTCAATGTTTATTTAATTACATTCTCTGAAGGTTTAAAGCATGATATTTCAACCGTGAGACACAAAACTAAAGTTTAAGACATAACCTTTTTGCAGATAATTTTACACTCTTTTCTAAACCGAGTTTCAGGGAGATTTTACCCACCTAGAATGGCTGTCACTGTTCCTTACCAGAAACACCCACTCAATATCTTCTATTTAGTTTTACTGTCAGGGAATCAAAACTGAATTGTCCCTCCTAGTGCATCCCACTCAGATAGTCCAGGCCTTAACTGCCCACCCTGGCAGCCACAGTCATTCAGCACCATACATTTTAAACACTCTGGAAGTGTAGTATGCAGGGAATCAGTTGAGTGGTGAGGTGGTAATTCTTTTATCACATTTGTATCCTGGCCTTTTTCCTGGGGTCTGATGCAGCAAGGCAATTCTTATATTCTTAATCATGTGGTTAAGGATACACAAACCAGTGGTGAGGAAACTGATACACTTAAAATAAAATAAAAAGCACTCTTAAAACACTATGTCATGAATTACTCCAAATAATTCTGGGAACTGTAGTTTATTAAGGATGCAGAGAGCTGTTAGAAGACCACTATTCCCTTCAGAGAGCTATTAGTAGAGGGATGATTGTTAAACCACTCTGAAATTGTAGCTCTGTGAGTTCCCAGGAAGCCATGACTGTTAAAGTGGTATAAGAGTGCTTTAAACATATGTCAATAGACTTTTAAATACTGTGGATTTCAGTGGCCTACATGGCTGTCAATGCAAGTTTAGTGTTTGTTGTGACTGGTGTAAAAGGAAAGAAATGAAATTTATCATAGGAATGTATTGCTTTACAGAGACATTCTAATGGAATCATAGAATTGTAGAGCTGAAATGCAGGAATCTCAGCTAAAGCAACCATGACTCAGCTAAGGCATCCCATCTCAGCTAAAGCATCTCATCAACTTAATGATTTTGTAGTACATGAGCTCGGGGGCACTGAGGCCCCAGATGAAATCCCAGTGGTTCCAGTATGTCATATTTTTGTGGTAAACTAGGTTAGTGATACGAGGAAGTAAGACGGCTACATCTCTGGGGCTTGCAATCAGGTCATTTCCGCCAGTCCACACTGCAGTTGGCACAGTCATGTCCTCTATTTTATACAAAGGGGGAAAGCTCTGGAAAGTAAATGACAATGAATCATTATTATTTTTAAAAAAATGTTGTTAGTGACAGCATCTTTACACAATTCAGACCAACTGTGGACAGTCCACAGGCTTGTATAAAAAGGTAAAGGTACCCCTACCCGTATGGGCCAGTCTTGCCAGACTCTAGGGTTGTGCGCTCATCTCACTCTAGAGGCTGGGAGCCAGCGCTGTCCGCAGACACTTCCGGGTCATGTGGCCAGCGTGACAAGCTGCATCTGGTGAGCCAGCGCAGCACACGGAACACCGTTTACCTTCCCGCTGGTAAACGGTCCCTATTTATCTACTTGCACCCGGAGGTGCTTTCGAACTGCTAGGTTGGCAGGCGCTGGGACTGAACGACGGGAGCGCACCCCGCCGCGGGGATTCGAACCGCCGACCATGCGATCGGCAAGTCCTAGGTGCTGAGGTTTTACCCACAGCGCCACCCGCGTCCCAACAGGCTTGTATAGATGGGTGATTTTTCCTTCTTTCTACCTAGAACACTTATTGTCTGCTAACATGTTTTAAATATGGTTGGGTGGATCCTCTGCAGTTCTCCACAGATTTGCTCCTGGTTTTTCAAAGTTTTGCACTACAAGCCCAGGAACTGTAGGCACTGATTTATTGCTTTCTGGAGTTTGTATTTTTTTTTTTTTTGTATTCTATCTTATTTCTTTTTAGCTTGTTGTACACTACTTTAATGGCCTCAGCCCATGAAGTGGCCAACACATTTACAAAACAAACAAACAATGGAGCAGGGGGCAGGGAGAACCCAAGGCAACCTGACTGACAATTGAAAGCTTCCCTGAAAGAGCTACACTCTCTGTAATTCATCACACAGATGACATGATGATGTGGGAAGAAGATGGGAGTTCTCCTTGTTCCTGCAAGGAAAGTGGGGAGTGGTTTGGGTGGTGGGAATGGCTTTGAGGACCCTCCAACTATTTGCTGCTTGGTCTGAGGAAAAGGAGATTGGGAGTCAGGAGATTCACACCACATTTAAGGAGGTGGAAAAGAACCTGCTTTGAATGCAGAAGGTCCCATATTAAATCCCTGGCAGGGGTACGAGAAATCCCTGGAGACAAACTGGACACATCTAGGCTCCTCCTCCAGACTTTGTCAAATGTGTGGTCTGAGGTTGGATCTAATGTACATAGCCATGCTCCACCCACCCACCACACATTCTCTGAGCACGTGGAGGCAAACACTTGATGAGATCACATTCACATTAACTGTGAACTAGTGTGGTATGCTGGTTAGATTGTTAATTAGTACTTGGAGATCCATGTTTACATTCCCCCTTAACCATGAAGTTCACTGACTGATCCTGGATCAATCACAATCATTCTAGACTACCTCACAGGGTTGTTATGTGGATAAAATGAGGGGATAATGACACATTCCAGCTTGAACTGCATGGATGAATGGTGGGATGTATACCATACATCCCGGAATTGGACTGTCAAAATGGGGTCTGGGCAAATTTTCACCGAATTGGCAAAATGTCTGGGAAAACCTAGATGTATGGCAACTAGGGCATTTTTTAAAAGAAAAAATGTTTTGAAAATCCAATTCCCCCCATCCCCCCAAAAAACTCAACAACTTTGACAAAAAACAAAACAAAACCCAACTTTGTCCTGATTTGGAAATATGTCGATATATATATATATATCGATATATGTCAATATATATATATAAGCTTGTGTCACCAAATCACTTTTGCAAATCCATGTTAAGAACATCAGAAAATTAGGCGAATTCTTAACCCTTATATTGACACTGATGAGAACTCCAAGCAGTTAATATCATCTGGGTTGTGCTGATAGTCAGAACCATTGTAAATGCATGTCCTTGATGCAGATTTCTATTTTCACCATATTTCCTGAACAAAAATTGTTCGCTCTTACCTGGTTATATCTTGCCTGATTCTCATTCCCGTAGTCAAAGTATCTGAATAATCCTGAATCTCTTATCTATCAAAATAATAGGAAAGCCATAGCATTGGATATTAGCATTAGATATTATGTGATACATATTACAAATAATAAAATTACTATTTTTGATCCAACCTATTCTTTTCTGTAAAATCCTTGTTTGACTAGTTATGAACGTTGCCTGTTCCTTTTGGAATTATCTCTATGGCAGTAAATATCCCTTGGGGTAAATATATTTTATGTGAGGAATCCCTTTCTGAAATGAAGGGATTTGCAGAACACTTGGTGTTCATGTGCCCATTTTTTTCGTAAGACGAAAAGAGCTCCCTACTCTGCCCAGTGGCGTAGCGTGGGGGGTGCCAGGGGTGCCGGCCGCACCGGGCGCAACATTTTGGGGGGCGCGTTTGGCCGGCCCCCCTCGAGGAAGCGGGAACCTCTCCAAGGCGCAGCGCGCCGTCGGTGGAGGAAAAGAGCCTCGCAGCAGCAGCAAAGCCGGGAGGAGGAGGAGGTGGAGCGAGCCTGCTAATTGCTTGCTGGGAATTAAGCGGCTCAAAGGCAAAGGAAAAGAGGTGGAGCCGCTGGCCCGGCCGGGAGGAAGCTGGAGAGAGCAGCGCGCCAAGCGCACGTGACGCAAAGGGCCTGCCCACGTGCAGGCTGAGCTCCGTGTGGCGGGGGCGGAGGGAGGCGCTCGCTCTTTCCAAAGAAGGACCCGGCTACTGGATCAAGGCCACAAGGGCCCATGTAGAGTGAGTGGCCAAGCAGACGCGTCAATGAGAAGCACTCAAAGCAGGACCGGGGCACAAGAGCGCTCTCCCTTCCTGCTGCTTCCAGGGGGTGGAAGCGTCGCTGCCTCGAGGGCTTCCGAGATACCCTGGGGTGAAGTCCCGCTTCACCTTCTTGGGAGTCCCTCCAGTGGCGTAGCGTGGGGGGTGCAGGGGGGGCCGGGCGCAACATCTGGGGGTTAGGGTTAGGGGGCGCAAATCCACGGGTTAGGGGGCGCAAATTACTTGCCTTGCCCCGGGTGCTGACAACCCACGCTACGCCACTGACTCTGCCTAAATAAACAAAACTAGGTTTTAGCCATGTCAGTTCAGAAAGCTCATATTAGAACAATAGCACCAACTTAAATTGGCTTAAAAAATTGTCCAGTAGCACCTTAGAGACCAACTAAGTTTGTTCTGGGTATAAGCTTTGTGTGCATGCACACTTCTTCAGATACACTGAAACAGAATTCACTGGACCACTGTTTCAGATGTATCTGAAGAAGTGTGCATACACATGAAAGCTTATACCCAGAACAAACTTAGTTGGTCTCTAAGGTTCTACTTGACAGGTTTTTTATTTATTTTGACTGTGTCAGACCAACACGGCTACCTACCTGAATCTTAAATTGGCTTAATTATTGTAGTGGCTTCCCAGGGAAAGTTAAGTACACTAATAGTTGCAGGATTCTTTGGTGTAGGCTCAGAAAGTTTGTAATTTTTGAGTGAGCATATAAGCATGGAACTCTCTTGACCATCACAGCTGCTAAAAAGTATACAACGCTCTACCTGTTTCCAGTGTACAACAGATTTAGCTGATGTTCCATCCATAAAGCGAGCTCCATACACATCCATTCGACTCTGCAGGAAAAGTTTGGAAAATAAACAACAATCTGAAAAATCAGTGAAATTAAAACACCCCCCCCCCCAGAAACTCCCCTACAAGTAAAGGCTATTTTGTTTAGAAAAGGGATGAGGAAAATACTATACAATTGTAAATGGGATGAAAAGAGTGCATTTCACAGGGGGGGGGGGGAGAGAGAGATTTCTCCCTTTCACATCAAAAGAACCTGAGGCCACCAAAGCTGGCAGATTTGGGAAAGTTCCAGCAAATAATTTTGTCACACAGTGTATATAGCTCAGCTGGGGAATTCACTTTTGCAAGATAGTGGCTTTGAAGTGGGTTGAGACAAATTCATAGATGATAGCTCTATCAGTGGCTATTAGTCATGAAGGCTCTGCAGTACCTCCAGTATCAGAGACAATATATTTCTGAATAGCAGCTGCTGGGAGACAGGAATGGGGTAACTGAGGTTGTGCTCAGGCTCCGCTTGTGTATTTCCTGTAGGAATCTGATTGGCCACTATGAAAACAGGATGCTGGGCGCCATGGTTTCCAACGTTTCTTGAACGTGGGTCCCCAGCTATTTGTCGGACTACAACTCCCATCATCCCTGGCCACTGGTCCTGCTATCTAGGGGTAATGGGAGTTGTAGTCCAGCAACAGTAGGGGACCCAAATATGAGAAACCCAAGGCTTTTCTTATGTTGCTAAATTCCAGCTTTTTAGTAGCAACTATTGTTAAGGCAACAAGGTGCATTAAAGTTGATTCACCCTTTGAGATGAATTGGCCACATCCTGCTTATTGCTCGGCAGGCAGTGCATGCATTCTGTCTTTAAGGTCATAGGCTGGACAGAACCAAAATTCTAATGGTCATTTTTCTTCAGGAGACATGTCTGCGATGCCAGCTGCACCTTAACTTTAAAGCAGTATCACATCACTTAAAACAGGCATGGCTTCCCCCAAAGAATCCTGGGGGCTGTAGTTTGATAGGGGTGCTGAAAGTTGTTTGGTGACACCTATAATTCCCCTCACAGACTCTTATTATTTCCCACACACTGATTGTTAACTACTCTGAGGGAAGCCATGACTGTTTAAAGTGGTAAGTTCCTGTATAGTTCAGATGGAGACTCACTTTCTGGCACCTAAACCCATTTTCCTGGGAGTAAGTCCCATTCAACTCTATGAGAATTGTTTCTGATTAGATAAAATTGTGCTGTTCTAGTGCAACCATAGGCATATCTACTCACAAAGTAAGCCATATTCTGTTCACTGAGACTTATTTAAAGTTTGTACAAGATTCCCATCTTATTCTGAGTCTTCAGTTTTTCGCAGGGCTTTTTGCACCCTTTGGGTGCTCAGCTTTTGCTGCAAAAACGAAGCTTTGTGAAGATTCAGAGCATGTAGCAAACCAATCATAGTAGCAAACTACTATGTTTTCTTTACACAATCTACACACCATATTTAGATTTGTTGCATTAAATCCGCCTGCTGAGAATATGAGTTGAGCACAGAATTGCTGCATCAATGTAACGCTGCACAATTTCCTGAAAAAGTCTGCCACGGGTTTGCGAAACAGTACAAATTCTCCTCTGACAAAGATGCTCTGGGAAGATACAAAAGGTGTTACAATTTAACCTTAAAAAAATATTTGCGGGATTAGCTATTGTTCCTCTAGAATTCTTTTGTGGCTGGTTGCAGCTTCTTAAAGCAGGCTCGGCCCTCCAGATGTTTTTGGCCTACAACTCCCATGATCCCTAGCTAGCAGGACAAATGGTCAGGGGTGATGGGAATTGTAGTCTCAAAACATCTGGAGGGCCGAGTTTGAGGAAGCCTGTCTTAAAGGTTTCAGTTGGAGAGTGGGAACAGAGACCCATATGCTGATCGTACCTGGTCCACCTTCCCGTGGGAAGGTCTGAAAGGGATTTAGAAGGGCATCCAGCTGGTCATACTTACAAGCCTCTTCTCAATCAGGAACAATGATAACACCCGGTTCCAATTAGAGGGAGGCTTGTAACCATGTTCCACCAAATCTATTCATAAGACCCCTTCAGATCTTCCAACTCAGGTGGAATCTCAACACATATAAATGTGTCTCTGAAAATGCTTTTTTAAAAAAATGCTTTGAAAAATATATTGAATGTGCCATAAGCTCAACATCACCACTTAGTGTCACAGCTGTATAATGCACTTAAAATGATATATTTGCAGCTGGATAGCTGAGTCCTCAGTGCAGGAAGGTTGGAGTGCGAATTAGTGAATCTGTTGATTCTATTATTTCTCTCAGTTTTTCATATTCCACTCTTAAGTTCAATTTTCCACATTTCTAAATCAGTTTGCATTTTTTTTAAGCACAAGTCCGCTTGAAACTTCTTCAGTGTGAATTTTTCCCTAATACATACATTTTTGGTACATTTTTGCCTAGCACACACATTTTTGCAAATTAATTTCCCCTAATATATCCAATTTTGTCTGCTATTTTTGCTAACATGTGGAATAATATACACATTTTACCCTAGTATATGCATTTTTGTATTCATAACCTGCTTGGAGAACCAAATTTTAGAGATGAGTCAATTTTGAACGGCAGCTGAGCTTCTTTTTGTGTGTATTGTGCAAATGAGGCAGCTTCTCCTACAATGCAAACTGATTTTTAAAAAAAAACACCAAAAACCCCCACAACCTATTCCTAGTTTGGATGTGGACCAAAAACACAAAGTACACATACATTTCTCCCCTAGATTGAAATATTTAATCCTTAGGGCTTTTTTCTTGGTTTATTCTCTTTATGTTGTTCAGCACTGTAAGAGCAATCCACAGCTCACTGAAATGTATAGTAAAGCCTGTGTTGGTTTTTCAAAACTTTTTTTAAAAAAAACCGAAATTTTGCTATGCATAGCAACTCAAACAAATTTAGGCTGTATTTCTTATATTTCTAAACAGCCCTTCATCCAGTATGCTCTCAGAGCAACACTACAGTTATGTAAAATGTGAACCTGTTATATAGAATCATAGAGTTTATAGACTTTTTCTTTTATAGCATAATCTCTATGAGGGTGACAGGTACAATTGTCTATCTTAGTTATGAAGTTAAGGGAAAGGTTACTCTTAAATTCCTGCTGGCCTAGTATTCTTTGATTTCCCGGTAACAAAATAGAGATTAATGTGTACCTTGGATGAGTAGTCAGGAAGTAGGAAGGAAAATTTGGAAGCAGGGCTTGTCACATGCTTAAGAGAAATCACAGGAGCCAAGGCGGTAAATAGTTTGATTTTTTGAGACAGCTCTGGTATGGCTGAAAATGCTATGAAGCCTAAAGGATGGGGGAGAAAAACACAGTGAGCATTTAGGACTGCTCATAGTACGAAATTCATTTGCCAATTTACCAAAGGCCTACTCCTAGACTCTAAAGCAGAGATGGGGATTCTGTGGCCCTCCTGATATGGCTGGTCTACAACTCCCACTATCGCTGTTCATTTGCCATGCTGGCTGGGGCTGATGGGAGTTGGAGTCCAAGCGCATCTGTAGGGCCACAGGTTCCCTATATCTGCCCTATGTGATCAATGGATCAATTGAGGCTAAGCAATAGATCTGCCATGGATGGCAAAACCTGACCATCTCCCCTCTCTACTTATCAAGTTAAAACCAGTTGCCAGTAAAGTAAGGCAATTGAGATTATGCTGTTATTCTTGTAATGGTTTTCTCTTTTAAATATAAACTGTAAAAGTCTAAAATGAATCTAAATAGGGCAAACCCTGGATCACAGCTGTATGTAAAGCAAGGCTGAATTCTTATGATAGTTCATGGGGCACATGGTAAGGTTTTATTCTGTAACGTCAAAGCCTCTTTTTCTCCCCAATGAGAAGCTGCTGATTGGAGGTGGGCAGAGGACCAGTTGAAACTGGTTGTGGGGTGCATCTGGCCCAAGGGCTGGCAATTTCTGGCCCATGGGCTGGTCAACAGGACAGCTTGCCACTTTCTCCACCCTTACAGCTATCTTCTCATTTCCCCCTGAAAACTCACAGGGACATAGCATAGTCCCAAAGGGAATGCAGGCCCATAGATACTGACTGGTTCACAATTCAGCACCAGTGTTGGGGCAAGGCTGACTCCCAACACAAAAGGATCAGCAGTATAAGGTCAAACTGGAATCTTTACAGCTGGCTCTAGGATCCAGAATAGCAGAACATAAACCCTTTTTTCCCCTTAGAAAGAGAGAGAGAGAGAACAAGAGAGTAAAAAAAAATGGGTTAGCCCAATTTAGCATACCAATGGTTGTGCCTTGAGAGTAGCCTACGTAATACAGTTGCTTCTGCCCAGTTTTCTTCAGAATGAAGTTGATCATTGCTGGAAGGTCATACAGAGCCATTTCATGGAAACTGAAGGAAATATTTAAATGTTATGGCAAAATTAGTGACACCTCTTCATCTGAACTCCTAGATGTTCACCCAGAGTTGCCTTCTGGAAGGTTTTGCTTGAAATGTGGGTGCAGAACCAGGTGATGGCGCCACCATCTCTATTCTCTACTTTAATTTTGCAGCGATGGCTTCCAGCAACAGAACATCACTAAACATCTCTCTCTCTCTCTCTCTCTCTCTCTCTCTCTCTCTCTCTCTCTCTCTCACACACACACACACACACTTTTTCATTTCATACATGAATCTCATGAAGAACCATCACACATAAAAGCAGGCTGTAAGATGTGAAGATGCTCAGTGTGTGGACTTCTACTTCTTTCCACACATTCTGGAATTGTGCAGGCCACAGTACATATGTGGAAATCCAACATGCATAGAGATCTATAGCTTTTAGTTACCATCCTGCTCAGTGTAACCATTCAGTGTATGACGAGGGAGGGGGGGGATTTGATTCAGTTTGCATTGAAACCTGAATTTTTCAAATTCGCACTTTCTAAAATGAAATGACAACTGAAACACAGTCGTCCTTCGAAATTCATATTAATCCATATGTTGTGATGCCATCCTCCAACCAATCAAGAGTTTACAAAAATACATATATTGTGCAAACAGTGAATAAAAATGAGTGAAAATGACATGATAAAATGTGCACACCAAAATATATCAAGAGAAATTTGCACTAAAGTACGGAGGAATTTCCATGAAGACTTGTCAAACAAATTTTTTTCAAATTGATGCAGATATGTGGAGAACCAGATTTAAGTTTGGGGAAAAATGACAGACTGTGAGAACCAAAACCGACAGATCCTTCCATCCCTAACTAGGAATAACAGGTTCACCCAGCCACAATGGTGCCCTCACATATGAATCAGGGGAAAGGGGCATTGTGAGGAATAAAAATGTTGCCTTTTCAAAAGGCCACAAGGCTGCAACGGTTAGATGACCGCAGACAGCAGAAACTTGCTTACACATATCTTGTGGTTAGGAGGCTTATAGATAGGGCTGTTTGCAGCCGTTATGCAATTTATCTGTACTCAGTTACACCCACTAGTGGTTGGGATGTGGCTTTATTGCTTGAGTCAGAAACATGGACCAAGAAACATGGACCAAATAAGGAGAAAGGTAAACAGGAGTAGTGGTCGTTGGAACTAGAGTAATGGGAGATGTCAACAAAGGTGGGGATTTTAGTATGTTAACTAGGTGGTCATGATAGGCTATAAACCTTGCATGTATCCAGCCAATGAGGAAACAAGGGAAACCTGTGCTTCAGGTATAAAGAATATAAACTTGTGCCTTGCCAATTTGGGGTGTGCCTAATTTGGACACCCGCTCTTGCAAGAATGTATTGTACTCAACTTTGCTGCTTCACCAATTTTGTTCAGAATTTATTTTGAGGGTCTTAGGACCCACGTTTTACTTCTAACAGGCATCAGACATAGAAAATCACACATAGGGCTGTAGGATGCGAAAAACCCCTGCTTGTAGACTTCTGCTTTTTCTCACACATTCTGGAATTGTGCAGGGATCCAAAATTTTGTAGTCCCTATTTCAAAGGGTTATGTTTCTACAGTTCATTTCTTAGGATAGCTACATGCATAGAAGCCTATAGATTGTAGCCATAGTCTTGCTCAGTGCAAATCTATTGACATAAAGGGATATGAATAGGGATAAGGAGAAATTCAATTTAGTCTACATTTAAAGCTGAATTTATCAAATTTGTTGACATGAGAACCAAAACTCAGCCATCCTTAAAATTTTTGAGTGATTAAGTTTGGCAACCACTCAGTGTTTACAAAAATGTGTATATTTGGTAAAATTGTGCCTAAAATGTATATTATTAGTGAAAATAACATTTAAAATGTACCATATTGGGAGATACTACTTGCAAAAATGTGTACATTAGTCAAAACTGCATACAAAAATGTGCTGATCTGGAGAAATTTGCACTAAAATGCTGAAGATCAGCAGAGTTAATGTGTGAAATAATATTGTTTATTGCTGTTTATTTTACAGTTCAAATACCTGAAATCCCAAAATTCATCTTGGTCAGTTGACAAATTCTGGTGTCTCCGAGACCATCTTGACCCTCTGTTGTTCCCCAGCCAAACATCATAGCCAGCATCCGCTAATATAAATCCAAAACTGTTGTTTGCCAGATTTTCGACCCAGAAGCTAGCTTCCGCAAATATCCCATGCTGCAGCAACACAACAGGCCTGGGACCTGCTTTAAAAAACAAATCATTATAACAAAGCAGGTGAGAATCTCTGTGCCATGATAACAAATATGTTTTTGACAAATATCCCTTGTTTATATTATATTATTAGATTATAGTTTATATTACAGTACATTATCTCAGTATGTTTGCTAGGCTCTAGTCCCGGGGTTGGCAAGGTTTATCTTGCCTGGGTCGGATCAGTCCCATAGAGATCCCTTCGTGTGCTGGATCTCTCTCTCACGTGAGTGCATGCGCCTGTGATTTCCGGTATCTGCGCATGCGCAGATGCGATTTCTAGCACCACAGAAGCGAGTCCCCATGCTGCGCTGCACTGGTTTAGCGCAGCATGCGAGCAGGCGGCTCGTGGACCGGTCAAACGATCTCTGTGGGCCCCTTCCAGCCCATGGGCCTTAGGTTGGTGACCCCTGCTCTAGTCTCATTCAGTGGCATGGATCTGAATTTTGACTGTAGAGGAGGCTTGTCAACAAAGCCCTATTCAAGAATTCAGAAAAAATCTGTGGGCACTGAAACTGGGGAAGGGGAACAGGCAGGCAAATACCAAACCATGCTCCCAAGGCCCTGATATGAAGTGGACTTGCCCATCCCATCATTGACCTTCCTGGGAGGTCTGAAGGGAATTTATAAGGATGCTTTCTCAAGATATTTCCATGTGCTTCCATGAGGACATCTCCATGTGATCCTGATAAGGCCGGACTCTCATTTGAGGAGAGACTTTTTAGGGTGTTCAGTCCCTTTCTGACCTTCCTGCTCAATACAAGACAGTTGAGGAATGAAGCTGTTGTACCTGCCCCTTCACCCATACAGTTTCAGGCTGCATATGCTCTTCTGAGCACTTCAATGGGGCTCCAGAGGGTCATGCAACAACCTTCTGGGCCCAGTCACTTTGGGTCTTGACTGAGGGTCTGATAGCTTCATGTAAAGCTCTAGTAATTACATAATTCTGCACTGTATTAAGGCTTTTAATATGCAACTGTGATAGGCCAGCAATTTGTTTTGAATTATAAATAAGGAAAAAATATTTTCAGATACCTCCAGGGGTAAGATTTTCTCTTCCAAAGGGAATTCGGTTTACTGTCAAATAATAGCCATCATCTGTTAAGACTTCATACTCTTCACTCGGGTATCCTTTGTAGCGAATCACCTCGCTCTAAAAGAAGAAGAAATAAACTCCTGAGATGTTTGAATTCAGAATGTTTTAATCTGTCACAGAGGAGACCTTTAGCTAACAACTGTACATTGATAGTGTCAGTATATAGGTCAGTCACTATATGGCAATGGAAGCAGTTGTTTCTATGTGAAGTGAGGCCCTTCCTGTGTCTGCTCTGTGTTTGTTTAAAAGACACCATAAACAGATGTCACCACAAGTGTACATTCCATATATTTGCATACACCAATAGTTGAGCAGCACAATCATAGTGGTATTCACATGTAATGTTCAACAAGTTTACAACCTGAGTACAAAGCAGTTGAGCTGTGTAGACACTTTCAACAAGTGTAGACTCTGTCACACAAGACCCTTTCACTCTTTGCTTTAAAATTAGTTTGCAATAAGCTCCTGTTCAGTATGAAATGAAGCTGTACCAACACATCACCACCACCATCTAATTTCATTGCCTTTGTATACTGTCTTTCTGCAAAGGCACCCAAAACAGTTTACTGTTTTAAAGTACTAAGACAAATGATAAAACATCTAAAAGCAGGGAGGAAGTCTGACTGGAGAAGGTTGTGATGTTGTCTGTGCCTGCCTCCTTCATACTCACTCAACCTACACTCAGAATTGAGAAATGTTCCTCAACTGCTTTCAGTATTATGGAACAGAAGTCCTGGCTCTCACTCTTGGACACCATACTCAGATTCTTAGAAAGATTGTTACCAAACATTTAATCCCACAATTCACCACATAGATTATGTTACAATGAGTCCATTGTACAATGAGTCCATTAATGCTGAGCTCCAAGGAGCATGGGGTAGGTGTAAGCAAGGCTTTCTTTCTGCCGGAACTCACCAACTCAGTTCCGGCACCTCTCAGGTGGGCTCCATTGCCATTCTAAGGGAATGAGGGAGGTGTTTGTGCTGGTGTCCCATCCTTAGAGAAGGAGGCTCACTGTCTGATTCAGACTCAGGCACATCCCCAGAGATGGGGAGTGTTTTGCTGGCAGAAGGAGACACCTGGGTCAAATCAGCAGCCCTCCCTTGGTGCTTGGGACATCCAATAGTACTGAGGTGGGGCTTTCTCCCGCCAACCAGCATCCAGCACAGCACCTCACAGGCCACTGAGTCCCTCCCCAGGATCAAACTCCCCACACTCATCCCATTCCTCCTCCCCACTCTGGCCAACTTTGCCAAGAAGTCTTTACATAATCTATGTGGTGAATTGTGGGATTAAATGTTTGGTAACAATCTGGCTGAGAATCTGAGTACTTCGGGTTACGTACTTAATTCGTTCTAGAGGTCCGTTCTTAACCTGAAACTGTTCTTATCCGGAAGCACCACTTTAGCTAATGGGGCCTCCTGCTGCTGCTGCGCCACCGGAGCACAATTTCTGTTCTCATTCTGCAGCAAAGTTCTTAACCCGAGGTACTATTTCTGGGTTAGTGGAGTCTGTAACCTGAAGCGTATGTAACCCGAGGTACCACTGTATTGGGTTCACGACACTAAGAGGCAGTGCTTTTTTTTCTGGGGGTGATGCGGGGGACACATACACCTAAACTTTCTGTGAATCTAAGTTTTGTCTCATTGAGGGGCAGTATTTCAATATGAGTAGGAAAATGAGAGTACCACTAAACGTTTGTAAAGAAAAAAGCACTGATAAGAGGGAAACAGAAAGTGCTGTTGTTTGTCTTTCCTTGCTGTTCTACATACTCCTCTGCATCACCAGAAATAAGTTTTGCATTTCCCCATGGCTTGTTTGTCATCACTCCCAATTGCATATCCCCACGCCATTAACCAATAGTTATGCTTTTGATGTTCAAGATCTGGGATTGCCAACACGGCGCACCTGCAGATGTTATTGGGCTAGAACTCCCATTAGGTAAAGGTAAAGGGACCCCTGACCATTAGGTCCAGTCATGGCCGACTCAGGGGTTGCGGCGCTCATCTTGCTTTATTGGCTGAGGGAGCCGGCGTACAGCTTCTGGGTCATGTGGTCAGCATGAGTAAGCTGCTTCTGGCAAACCAGAGCAGCGCACGGAAATGCTGTTTACCTTCCCACCGGAGTGGTACCTATTTATCTACTTGCACTTTGATGTGCTTTCGAACTGCTGGGTTGGCAGGAGCAGGGACCGAGCAACGGGAGCTCACCCCATCACGGGGATTCAAACAGCCAACCTTCTAATCGGCAAGTCCTAGGCTCTGTGGTTTAACTCATAGCGCCACCCGCGTCCCTTGGGCTAGAACTCCCATTAGTAAAAGGTAAAGGTACCCCTGCCCGTACGGGCCAGTCTTGCCAGACTCTAGGGTTGTGCGCTCATCTCACTCTATAGGCCGGGAGCCAGCGCTGTCCGCAGACACTTCCGGGTCACGTGGCCAGCGTGACAAGCTGCATCTGGCGAGCCAGCGCAGCACACGGAACGCCGTTTACCTTCCCGCTAGTAAGCGGTCCCTATTTATCTACTTGCACCCGGGGGTGCTTTCGAACTGCTAGGTTGGCAGGCGCTGGGACCAAGCAGCGGGAGCGCACCCCGCCGCGGGGATTCGAACTGCCGACCTTTCGATCGGCAAGCCCTAGGCACTGAGGCTTTTACCCACAGCGCCACCCGCGTCCCGTAGAACTCCCATTAGGCCCTGATAAATGGTCATGCAGTCTGGGACTCATGGGAACTGGGGCACCACAACAGCAGCTTGAGGGCACCTCGATGGCTACCCCTGTTCTAGACTGGAGGAAGGGAGATAGAAGGAACAAGAGCTGCTCTTCAGCTCCCTCAGATTTGAATTCTAGCCCCATCTCAGGCCTGCCACTGCATAAGATTTATAAAGGAGTACATAGCTTACAACATTCATGTGAACTTCAGGATTTGAACCTCTGCTCCCACTCAGTTCTTCTGCGCTCCCAGTTGCTTGTATTAGACAAGCGATGGCAAGAAACCACCACATCTTCTTTCTATATATGATTTTTTTTAAAAAAAGAAAAAAGTGGGGTGGAAGAGGAGGAGGGGAAAAGTGGGGTATCCTACATCAATTACTTCATAAACAATGCAGACATAATATATACATTTTAATCAAATATTCCAGAATGTCTGAAATCCAAATTCAATACATGAGTAGCATACAAAAATAAACCATCAAACCTAATAGGAAACATAAAATTGTGTTAAATGCATGAAGTCCAAGCTGCATAAACCAAGTAAACTAATTGGGGAAGAAAAGAAGAGTTTTCAACCATGCCAGGGCTTGCTTTCCTTCTAGGAGAAGAGAATATCAGGGAACTGGGGCTGCATGCCAAAAACACCTACTTGAGTCACAGCATGTTATACTCACAGGGGCAGATGGGAAAAAAATCTTTCTCTACAAATCTTCATTCTGTTCTGTTTTTAAAATTCTGTTTTAAAAATTCCAGGCTACACTGTACCTTGCCTTCCACCTTATTTTTTGCTTATCAATATCCCATGCCCCTCAAAATGCAGACAAATATATACAAAAAAGCCCAGAATAAATGAAAATATTACCACTCAGAGTCCTCTTGCTGTGTTTAGGCAGGAACAGAATATCCAAATGATGCCTCCTCCAACATTGCCAGCATTATCTATTACCAGAGAAATTCCTTTTCCATGTTTCACAAGACATTTGTTTTTACAATTGCCAGTTCCTTCTAATCGGTTCTCTTTCTTCTTGATATCAAAGTATCTGCAGCATAGCAGTAATACTGTGGGCGGCTTCTTTAGTTATATGACTTGAATGGCACAACATTCTTGGTTAGTTCCATCGGGAACACCTAATTAAAATTGGTGACCAGTGTAAAGGAAATAAATGCACGTGACTGATGATCTGTAGCAGTGCACTTGACCTGACCACTCACAAACACAGCAGAACACATGCACAGCTCTGTTTTGGAAATTGGGGCATTTTTTGCCCTGAGAATCTATTCTCCCCTAAATTACTAACAAGGGATATGATGCACAAATATGCAGAAAGAGTGGAATCAAGGTTATGGAAATGAATCCTGAATAGGCGACCCATGACTAAAGTGATTTACTTAATAAACCTTTTATTTTCATGCCTATGCCATTCATTTTAAAGCCACCCTACATTTTAGTGCACAGTTCCTTTTGCATTCCTGCATGTAGGCATGTGACATAAGATACCTGTGCTTCCTTCTAAGCTCCTATTTAATATAATAGGTTTATGGTACATTCATAGAGACAGCATCAATTAAACCAATTTCATCCTACCTGTATGAATGACTTTCTGGCAGCACCACTGTCATATGCGCGAGTGCCCAGGTCTGTAGGTGTAGCGCTGACCAGGAAAGGTGTTATGCTCAAATATTTTGGTTACTCCACCACTGCAGAGGCAACAAGGCCATTTTTCCCCTCCATTGTAAATACATACCCTGTGACATTCTACAATTATATCCGGTGCCGCACTTTCCATACTGTGTTCTCCTTCTGACTCCTCCTACGTACACACAGTAAAACATATACCACTCTCTGTGTTCCCCTTCTCACCTCTTAACTGTCATTACATATCACGGGATGCTTTTCTTCATTTATAAACTCTTGCAAAAACTGTCCTAACTGGTTTCTGAACAAGATGTTTCAATAGATTGACAAGATCCATGTGTGCAAGGGTGTCTGTGTATGAGTGCCATTCGAAAGAATCTCATCCTAGATTCAGTTTAATCTCGCTTATTTGTGAGCAATGCAATCACTTTTGGATGGAGCCCCTCAGGGACCCAAGCCTCTTCTATTTCTACATAGTTCATTCATCAAATCCATTGGTTTTCATTTCATAACCAGCCGTATCCTGGTGACACCCAGCTTTACTTTTCTACCCTGGAGATCTTTATCTCCATCCAGTCTTGCGACTCTCGCTGCCTGCAACAACATTCCTGCTTGGATGGTCACCATTTAAAGCTCAGCACAACAGAGAGCAAACTTCTCATCTCTCCTTCCAAATCCTCACCTCCTCATAGATGATGTGCTAACACAGAGATGGACTTTTTCACTGCTGGTGCCCGTGTTGTGGAATGCCCTCCTTGCTAAATACAAGACGTCCAATCTGTGTTGGGTTTCTGCTGGCTTCTGAAAACACACCTGTTTAGGCAAGCATTCTCCTGCGCTGAACTCCTGGCGTGTTATTGTTTTTGTTTGTGTGCTTTTAATTATATATTTATTACTGTGCATTATAATTAAGGGTGCCTCAATGTCCCAGTGGATGGTTTGTTTTAATTATGCATTGATTTTACAATTGCAAACCACTTGTTATTAAATAAATAAATAAACTGCTGCCCATTTTCATTCATAGACAAGGGTCCCAATGTAACTTGTTGATAAGGCTCAAAGTCTGAATATTTTGATGAATCTTGTCTTCTTCTTCTTTTTTTGGTTTCCATATTTCATCCATTACCAAATTGTGTGACAACTCTGCTTCACATGTTTGTGTGCACGTGTGCACAATCATTTACTTTTGACTACAGTAACCTCTTCCTCCTCTGCCCCCTTTCTCATTCCTTAGGCCTCTTTCTTGAATGTTGCGACTAAAACCATCTGTGTCACATGACTCAGAGACTGTAACAGCCATTCTTTGTTCCTTACATGAACTTCCTGTTTGCTCATATCCCTGAGCCCTTTCCAGGCATTCCTATGACACATGAGACAGAGATGCCCCCAACATTGCCACAAGAGCAGATGCTACAGGGCAAGAGGGCAGGTAATATAGGAGCAAGAGTGAGGCAGCTGCAAGCTCACAAGTGAGAGGAAACATAGCTCATCCCAATCCTGGCTGGGCACATATCAGGATCCATATTGCCTCAGGAAAAATCCTGAGCCATAAAGGATTCTTTTATACTGCTATAGATTTGTTATTGTTTGAGCACATGCCAGGGGCCAAGCTGAATAAGATAGAACAAACCTGAGCCCCAAAAGTGGACCTTACTGCCCATCTACAAATATCCCCTTTGGGGGCAAAGTGCTTGAGACAGGGATGGCTGTGTAGCTTCAGCTGTACAGTGGAACCTTGGTTCTTGAACTCAATCCGTTCTGGAAGACCATTCAACTCCGAAACAATTTGAAAACCAAGGCATGGCTTCCAGTTGACTGCAGGAGCTTCTTGCACTCAAGCAGAAGCCACATCGGACGTTCGGCTTCCAAAAAACATCCGACAACCAGAACACTTACTTCCGGGTTTTCGGTGTTCAGGAACTGATTTGTTCGTCAACTAAGCTGTTCTAAACCAAGGTCCCACTGTACTTGCATGAAACAGACTACAGTGGTACCCTGGCTTATGAACTTAATCTGTTCCTGAAGTCCATTCTTAAAACAAATCTGTTCTTAAACCGATGAACGCTTTCCCTAATGAGGCCTCCCACCACCAGTGCCCTTCCACCGTTAGGCTTCCGTTTGTAGACCGAGGTAAAGTTCGCAAACTGGAACACTACTTCCGGTTTTGCGGATTTCAAAAACTGAATAGTTTGTTAACAGGGCTGCTCGTAAACCAAGGTACCACTATATCTTGACCCATTTCTATTTGACTTCAGATCTGATTTTGGTGCGAAAGCAGATTTCGCGTAATGAAAAGAAGCATCAATAAATTCAATGAACTCAAATCCATCATGGCAAAATATTTATTTATAGAGAATTCCCCACCAAAAATTTTGGGGTAACCAGTGCTATTTTTCTAAAAGAAGAGGTGCCAGAACTTACCATGAACGTCTGCCTTGTTCTCTTAGAATGGCAATGTCTCCCACCTGAATGGTGCCAGAACTTAGTTCCGGAAAGTACTAGCTGGAAAAAAGCCCTGGGGCTAATCCACGTAGCCCTGTTCATCTTCCATGCATTCTCTGAGTTTATGGAAGCAAACACCAGGTGGTCTCTCTCCGCCCCACAGTAGGCAGAACGCACACTCTGAGCTGTTTAACCCTATAAGCTCAAGTTCTCCTCACAGGGGTCACATTCACTTTAACTGGTAATGCAGGTAAGTCCGAATTCTCAAGTGCAGGAAGACTTTTTAGAGCGTTCAACTGAATGTACTTTGAAGCCCTCTTCTGACCTTCTTGTTCAACCCAAGACAGTTGAGGAGTGGAGCAGATGTGCTGCCCCTTCACCCATCCAGCTTAAACCCATATTTGTTATTCTTAATGCTTTAGTGGGGCTCTAGGTGTCAACCAATAACCTTCTGGGCCCAGTCGCTTCAAACATGTATATAACTCTGTGCTGGCATGGCTGTCAAGGCTGTTATTATACCACCTTGACAGGCTAGGGATTTGTTTTGGACTTATTTTTAAAAAGAAATTATGAGAAACCTCCAACTGCAATATTTTTTCTTCCAGACGGTATTTGTTTATTGTCAAATAATAACCATCATCTGTTAACACTTCATACTCTTCACTGGGGTATCCTTTGTAGCAAATCACCTCACTCTGAAAGAACAAAAAACAGATTTTTTAATTCATAACATTTTAATCTATCTGCTGGAGAGTAGACCTTTAAGCAACCACTTTTAACAGTATGTTGGTAAGGTCATTATATGGTTTAGTCACTAGATGGCCCTGGAGATAGTTTTATCTGGGTGAAGTCAGGAATTTCCTATGCCTCCTATGTTCTTATTTAAAAGGCACAATAAGGGTGTTCACACATTACATTCACAAATAATCTAGCTGTATAGTCAAAGTGTTATTCACAGGTAATGTTCAATGAGCATACAGTCTGTGTACACAGTAGCTGAACTGTATATAGAAGCTAAGGACTTCTTCACACAAACACTTACAAATGTGAAAGAGACAGCTTCTACCTGTGTTCATTGTGTGAAGAAGCCTATGAATGATCTTGTATAGTTTTATCACTGGTGTACCATCTAAGCCATTTATGAAAAATGCCTCTTATCTTGTCATTTCTTTCCTTTAATATTTGGTTTGTAAAGGTAAAGGTAAAGGGACCC